GGTGGCGGGACCCCCAAGGGAGGGGGGGGGGGGGAATGACAGGGCACCCAACCCTCACTGCAGCGTCTTCCTGCAGGGCACGGGTGGGAGGCTGCAGGGCAAGAGGCTCTGCAGCGCTGGGCTGTTCTCTGCCTCCTTTGGCTCCTCCGTGGCATCCAGGAGCTGCTGCATGTAGCAGGAGGTGCCGAGCAGGACATGGCCGGTAGCCTGCATGCTGAAGAGCATCCAGCGCAGGGCTTCCCTGGAGAGGGAGGAAGGGGGTGAGCATCTCTCCTTGCACCCCACAGAGGGTACGGGCGGCAGGGCTGGTCCCCCACTGCAGCATTCCCACTCCCGGCGCCATCTCCAGCCCCCCCCCCAGCACTCACTTCACCAGCCGCTTGGCCCCGTAGCAGCGCAGGTCGTAGGACATGCTGTAGGTGCCGTAGAGCGTGGCTTTGACATTGAGGCAGCCCAGGTCCCGCGGGTTGGTCTTGTAGAGGTCAAAGGTGACACAGGCAACATCGATCCTCCGAGGGGGCTTGCGGGACAGGCTCAGCTGGTAGCCAGGCGTCTAGGGGAGAGTGGGACCAGGGTTACCCACCCTCCCGGTCCCACCTCACCCAGCATCCCAGGTACCTCCCAGCCCAGCATCATCTCCCCGCTGATCTCAGCGTGGGATGCAAGTTGGACAAACCAGGCTGCTGCCCCCCCCCCCCCCCCCCGCTCACCTTGGAGGCAGCCCAGGCCTGCCCCTTGCTCAGGGCCATCAGCACCGTGCCTTCCTCCAGCGTCCGGAAGAAAGCCTCCGTCTCCACCGCGGTGCCGTCCTCATCCAGCACCAGCGAGACAGGACCCGGGGCGAGCAGGGCGCTCTGAGAGCGTCCGGAAGAAAGCCTCCGTCTCCACCGCGGTGCCGTCCTCATCCAGCACCAGCGAGACAGGACCCGGGGCGAGCAGGGCGCTCTGAGCCTGCAAGGGTGCTGGGGGTGGGCGGGGCTGGGGGGGGGGGCGGCCAGCCCACCACCCACCTGGGCAGATGGACAGTCCCCCGGCAGACAGACAGACAGACAGACAGACAGCCCCCAGCTCACCTGGCGCAGCAGCTCAGCGAGGCTCT